GGTACATGGAATGTTTGTACAATGTGGGACACCGGGAGAGCCCTCCAAATTGCTGCAGAAATGAGGAGATACAACCTAGAGTTGCTTGGGATCAGTGAAACACATTGGACGCAAGTTGGACAACAACGACTAACTTCAGGAGAGCTCCTGTTATGCTCCGGCCATGAAGAAGAAAATGCTCCACATACATAAGGAGTTGCATTGATGCTGTCCAAACAAGCACAAAATGGACTTACAGAATGGGAATCTCATGGACCGAGGATCATCAAAGTGTCCTTCAAAATAAAGAAAGAGTGCATTTCAATGAACATCATCCAATGCTATGCGCCTACCAACGAACACATTGAAGACGCTAAAGATCAATTCTACAATAGGCTGCAGTCAATCATCGAGAAGTGCCCAACAAAGGTCCTCACCATTCTGATGAGAGATTTAAATGTCAAGATTTGAACGGACAACACTGGATATGAAGACATCATGGGACGACAAGGACTGGAAGAAAGGAACGAAAATGATGAGAGATTTGCAAACCTATGTGCCTTCAGTAGACTGGTCATAGGCGGCACCATATTCCTACATAAGCGCATTCACAAAACCACATGGGCTTCATCGGATCACACCACGCAAAACCAAATCGACCATATTTGCATCAACAAAACGTTCAGGAGGACGATGGAAGACGTGAGAATCAAGAGAGGAGCTGATATAGTATCAGATCATCACTTGCTGGTCGCCAAGATGAAATTGAAACTGAAGAAACACTGGACAACGGGGCGGACGATATCACAAAAGTCCATCACCGCTTTTTTTCGGAATACCGACAAACTCGACAAATTTAAGATAGTCCTCAGCAATAAGTTCCAGGCTTTTCATGATCTACTCAATGGAGAAGGAACTACTGCGGAGAGCGACTGGAAGGGGATCAAAGAGGCAATCACTTCAACATGTCATGAGGTCCTGGGTCACGAGAAGCACCATCACAAGGAATGGATCACTGTTGATACACTGGATAAGATTCAAGAAAGGAGGAACAAGAAAGCAGCAATGAATAACAGCCGAATAAGTGCAGAAAAAGCCAAGGCACATATTGAATACACAGAAGTAAACAAACAAGTGAAGAGGAGTATCAGAACCGACAACCGTAAATATGTGGAAGATTTAGCAACGACGGCGGAAGAGGCTGCAAGTGAAGGAAACATGAGACAACTGTATGACATAACAAAGGATCTCTCTGGAAATCGCCGCAAACCAGAACGACCAGTGAAAAGCAAGGAAGGCGAGGTAATCGCCAACATTGAAGAACAACGAAACAGGTGCGTAGAACACTTCAAAGAACTCTTGAATCGACCAGCCCAAATGAACCTATCCAACATCGAAGCAGCACACACAGACCTCCCAACCTGTGTTGGACACCAACAATTGAAGAAATCAGCATGGCATTCAGACAAATCAAGAGTGGCAAAGCAACAGGACCAGACAACATTTCAGAACAGGCACTGAAAGCAGACATAGCGGAAACTGCAAGGATACTCCACATTCTCTTCAATAAGATTTGGGATGCGGAACAAGTACCAAGAAACTGGGAAGAAGGACTTCTGGTCAAAATACCAAAGAAAGACGATCCCAGCAAGTTTGATAACTACAGGGGCATCACTCTTCTCTCAATACCAGGAAAAGTCTTCAACAGAGTATTGTTAAACAGGATGAAGGACTGCGTAGACGCCCAACATCGTGTACGGAACAAATCGCAACTCTACGGATCATTGTGGAACATGGGTTCATGACTAAATGCTCATGTTTCACATCGCACCTGCAGTTTTTTGATCAATTTACCCAGAGAAGAGATGTTGGTCAGTCAGTGATAATTCTTTACTTCGATTTTAGTAAGGCTTTCGACAGTGTCTCACATAAACTTCTTCTTTTAAAACTCTCTTCATTTGGCATTCAGAATCCCCTTTTATCTTGGCTCAAATCTTTTTTAGAAGAACGTAGCCAAATCGTTCGCTTTGGATCTTGCTACTCTAAACCTGTAAATGTAACCAGTGGGGTTATACAAGGAAGTGTGGTTGGTCCATTACTCTTTCTCCTTTTTATCAATGATGTATGTTCCCTCTTTCAGTATGGCAAACCTTTCCTTTTTGCTGATGACCCGAAAGTAGTTTATTCATTCTCTTCTCCCATGAAAGAAATCTATATTTCAGCGGTAATCCAGGAGGAAATAAATCTTATTCTTAAGATTACGAAGTTTCTAATTAAGACAATAACTTGTGTTACACTTTAAATTAACTTCTCAGATTCGTTTTATCTTCACTATGCATATATGACTCATACATAGTGATATTTCGTTATCCTTTTCACTTAATTGTGACTTTCATAGCATCACTCTAAACTATAACTGCACAAACATTTATTCTAGTGTCATTATCTTACTACAATGATAAATTATTTTTTCTGACTAATTTAACGATACACACATAGTCGTTTTTTCTTCTTCTCTGTTCATAAACACGCCTATTAGACTGTTTGCTTATTTCACATCTCCTTTATTTCTATTCCCTTATTTTCTCCATTTCCTTCTTTAAACTCAATTCGAAATTCTTCTCAATTACACAGACCCGATTTATTATTATTAATATTCTACTATTATTATTCTAAATTTTTTTAAATATGGCAAGTATAATGCTAACATTATTGAAAATTGTGTATTATTGCATTTTCTGAAGAAACCCGAAATGGTTTCTTCACAACACTTATGTACCCATAAGATGTTTGTGAATAATAATAATAATCAATTGAATGGAATTCATCACTGTACATCAACTTCATTGACTACGAAAAGGCATTTGATAGCGTGGACAGGACAACACTATGGAAGCTTCTTCGACACTACGGCGTGCCTCAAAAGATAGTCAATATCATACAGAGTTCATATGATGGATTACACTGCAAAATCGTGCATGGAGGACAGTTGACAAAGTCGTTCGAAGTGAAGACCGGTGTTAGGCAAGGTTGCTTACTCTCACTCTTTCTCCTCGTGATCGACTGGATCATGAAGACGTCAATATCTGAAGGGAAGCACGGGATACAATGGACATCTAGGATGCAGCTTGACGATCTACACTTCACAGATGATCTGGCCCTCCTATCGCATTCGCAACAACAAATGCAGGAGAAGACGAACAGTGTGGCGGCAGCCTCAGCAGCAGTAGGTCTCAATATACACAAAGGGAAAAGCAGGATTCTCCGATACAACACAGAATGCACCAATCCAATCACAATTGACGGAGAAGATTTGGAAGATGTAAAAAGCCTTACATATTTGGGCAGCATCATTGATGAACAGGGTGGATTTGATGCAGATGTGAAAGCGCGGATCGGCAAAGCAAGAGCAGCATATTTACAACTGAAAAACATCTGGAACTCAAAACAACTGTCTATCAACACCAATGTCAGGATTTTCAATACAAATGTCAAGACAGTTCTAATATGTGGGGCGAAAACCTGGAGTACTGCGAAAGCCATCATCCAGAAGATACAGGTGTTTATTAACAGTTGTCTACGCAAAATACTTCAGATCCGTTGGCCAGACACTATTATCAACAACGTACTGTGGGAGCGAACAAACCAGATCCAAGTGGAGGAAGAAGTGCTGGAAGTGGATAGGACACATATTGAGGAAAGCACTCAACTGCGTCACAAGACAAGCCCTTACATGGAATCCTCAAGGCCAAAGGAAAAGAGGAAGACCAAAGAACACATTACGCCGAGAAATGGAAATAGACATGAGAAAAATGAACAAGAATTGGATGGAACTAGTAAAGAAGACTCGTTTGATGTAGAGACCGGTGTCAGGTAAGGATGTTTACTGTCACCCGTTCTCCTGGTGATCGACCGGATCATGAAGATGTCAACATCTGTGGGTAAGGATGAGATACAGTGAACAGATAGGATATAGCCTAACGATCTAGACTTCCCAGATGATATGGCCCTCCTATCGCACATGCAACAACAAATGCAGGAGAAAACGATCAGTGTAGAAGCAGTAGATCTCAACATACTGTTGGGGGAGAACAAATCAGATCTCAGCGGAGGAAGTGGATAGAACACACATTGAGGAAGGCACCCAACTGCGTCACAAGGCAAGCCTTCACATGGAATCCTCAAGGCCAAAGGAAAACCCAAGAACACATTACGCCGAGAAATGGGAACAGATATGAAAAGAACGAACAACAATTGGGTAGAACTAGAAAGGAAGGCCCATGACAGAGTGGGTTGGAGAATGCTGGTTGGCGACATATGCTCCATTGGGAATAAGAAGCATAAGTAAGAAAATTTAAAACTCAATATTCAAAACATTCCAATAAAGTAGCATAGAGCTACTAAGTTTCTTGATATACATGAACATTCTGGTTCAGCAGGCGTTTTGTGACGATGTGAAACAGCAGAGAAATAAGTACGGTATAAACATTTTATGGAAGGATCGAACTCGAGTTAAGGTTTAGGAAGATAACAATCGATCAATACCGAACTTAGCAAGTACAAATTCATTGATCTACAACACGCTTGAAATTTATATACTTCAACACGAAAGTAATAACCAGAAAAACTGCCTGGGACCAACGAAGTGAGCCGTAATACTAATACCACACTTCGATTACACATATGTCCGATCACTATAACGTATGATCAGAGCAATATTTACATGACTATGCAAAATTATTCTATGCTAAAATCTGATTACCTAAAGGTGAACATTTACGTATTTAGCATTCATCTAGAAATCATACAATCTTTTCACATTCAGTGTGCTTACTTTACTTAACTGGCTTTATTTATATTAACAATCATGCTTATTAATTTTATTGTTCAGAATTTATATTACAATACACATTTGTAGTGGAGGAGCTTTGTTTACACTAACTGAAGTTACGAACTCACAAAACCTCGAAGATAGTAATGAGCTACACTGTACATGTATCGCAAAAAAAAACAAACACATAAATGGACAAAAGAAGTAATAGAATATATTACTAAACATTTGATAACAAATAAAATTGTACTCGGAAATCATTATTAGCACAGAGCTAAACAAATGCAAAGATTGAGTCTGAAATATCAAGGTATATGACAGAAGGATGTAAAATTAAACTAGAAAAGAATAAAATCCATAATGATTAGTTGAAAATATCTTCTACATGCACAAAACACTGGGTGTAGAGGTAAGTTATACATAAAGTAATAAGATATCAAAACAATTCATTTAACTATACTAGTAAAGGTTTTAAATCAATCATTGTAAAATAGAAATAAACCTGAATTTAATAAGCATACGAGTAAAATAAAACACAAACAATCTAAACGACTAAAATCTATGTACATGTAGTATTTTAAATTATCCAAAGAGAATGAAAACACCGGATAAATAGTGTTGAAGGAAACAAAAATTGGTAAGCAAGCGTGACTAAATAAGCACAATGAAATGCAAACAAATGACTGTTATGACCAAAACTGTTGACAAGTACATCCATGAATGACTAAATGTCATTTGTTCTATTTGTGGCTTTTGATTGAGTCGTACAGTGCGACGAGACAATTTGGCGTAGATACGCTTTATAGATTTGTCCCATAACAGACTGAATACATTTTAGCCATAGATCAACATTCTCGTTGGTCGATAAACATTCGAGTGTAGATGAGTCTCTAAGTTCAGTTATAGCAACTCTCTTGCCTTTCTTAACAGAAGAACGAGAACCAACATAGGGATGAATAAATGATCCCGGAGCTGATAGACCACGTGTACGACCAGGGCTATTTACTTCTGGCGAAAATGATTGTCCAGATGACTGAGATACTCTAGAGCAGGCACGGGAATTTTGTAGGCCACTACGAAGAAACCAATTTAATGCTCCACTGGAACGAATAGTGTCAGGTTTTGGTAAAGAATTAGTTTTAGGGTTTTCTGCGGGAAAAACCATTGGTCGAAAGCGATAGGTTTTGCCAAGAATGAAGTCAGTCAGCAAAAAGGAGTCTGGGTCTAAAGTACCATTTCGATGTTTACCAGGCTCTGCTTTCGCAGCCATGAATAAGTTGGGATTTGGAAGGTCATAATCAGTTTTAAAATGAATATTAGTACAGATCTCGGATTTGCAGTCTGATTCTGTTAGAAGCTCCGAAACCTCAGCTACGTCTACTTCTGCCGGGTCATCAGTTGGATTCTGTAGTTTTTTAAAATTATTCCCTTTACTCTGACAATTGAAAGCACTAAGTGCAGGAGGACTAAACAGACAATGTATTTGGCATTGATGAGCCTGAAACTGAACAGTAAAAAGCCATCAGAATAAGAATTTTTGGAGAACAATGTCAATGAAGAAACTTTACCAAAAAACAATATTTCTTTTTACACAGAAGTCTTAAACAAAACTGTGATACTTACCTGATTGCGGTAGACTGCATTCTTTACTTTTGGTTCAAAATAAATCATGTAGGCAGTGAGACCATCACCTACCATTACCAAAGTAGCCCACAAACGACGCCATTTAGAGAACCCAGATGGTCGACACGCAGAGGATGGATTGTGAAACATTTGTCTTGTAGCCGTCGATCCCGAGACAATCACTGAAGAACCAGATAGAGAAGAATTAGAAGCATGCATTGACGATGTAAACATAGGACTATTTGAACAAACAGTGTCGAAACTTTGATTGGTATTTGTTGTTGGTGTGAAACGGTATACAGTTCGACGTTGAACAACACCTTGACATATAACTCTAACACCAAAATAGTCAGGGACTACTGACGAGTATGAAATGCACGGACTGTTGTTGATGTGTGCCTCCGTAGTTGATGAATTTTGTTTGACATTTGGTGATTCCGGTGGAGTTGATGTAGCAAGTATTGAAAAACGATGTTCAAAAGATTTATCTACAGGAAGAGTGATAGTATAAAAAGAATATATAGATACAATTCACATTTACATAAAACGAAAATTCTTGGAAATAATTCGAAGTAGGGTAAAAACATCACTCATGATGCAGATGATGATAAAATGTACAAATGCATATGCTAATAAAAACTTCAGATAGAAGTTTGTATTGATGATGTCGTTCAAAAGAACGATGGAAGCTCCACGACCAAACCATCCAGCCCAGAGAACAAAACTCCGTCAAAATCATCCACTTGAGCTACAAATCTTTTCCACGTTTGTTTTTAAATACCACTTAATTTGGTGGCCTATTTAACACATTCCTTATGGTCAATTATTTCTTTAAATTAAAAATAAAACATTTAATTACTATGATTTTAATTGAAATAATTAGTTCTACAATTGAAGCAAACTGGAATACATAATCAGTAATGATAAACGTAGGACCTTGAAATAAATTTGCATGCATAACAATGGAGTTGAAATAATAACAATATTACTGACAGCAATAAAGAATGAATATGGTGAATATGTTGTGAAGAAAAAACGAATAAAAGTATTCTTGTCGGTATTATTCCACAGACTAAGTAATGCATGGATTAGGAATAGACTACCATGTAAGGATGGAAAATCAGTTGATCAGGTAATGAATCTGCATCAACTAAGGTGGTTGGGACATTCGTTATTTAAGCTTAACTACAGCCTACCACAGCGAGAGAAATTGTGTGGCGTAGAAACAGGCTAGAACAAAGCTAAGAGAGCCCAAACCGAAACACGGCGTCAGTCCAGACTACCTAGATGATGTCCATGTGAATGACCACTCAAAATCGTTTGCAATGGTGCAGGTGCATCCGTTATTTGTCTTTCCCCAAATCCTGAGATTCTAAATTTCCCATAACTTTTCTTCGTGTTTTTATTTCAATAATTTATATTTTCTTGAATTATATCTTCGATTTCTAATATATTTTATTACCACTGATACTGTTACTACCTCTACTATTCTAGGATTTGTCAACTTGAATCAATGTACATAAGTACCAAGTTTCAAGTTGTGACTGATTGGTATCGATTTTATACTTAATTGCAAAGGAATATATTTTTTTCACTCAATTTGTACTTTTTAAAAGTCTGAATGGGAATATATAATGAACAGAAACTATTTGATCAAATAATCAATCAACTAGAATGCCTAAACTACATAAAATTAGAAACAACAAGTAGACCTAAACATACAAACAGTAAAGATATGCGTTAGTGTAATTGTAATTTTTAAAAGAAAATGAGTGAACCATTTGCGAGAAATAAGACACACAGAAAGCAAACTGAATGAAATTGCGAGGGACCATAAACAATAAAACGCGTATGTTCCAAATTGGACAAATGATTGAATATACAGAATCATCATAATTATTAACATTTCATATAATATAGCATTATCTTGTGACAGAATCATGCCACTTGAGGCCAACCGGTTTATGTTTTTGAACCCCTGAACTGTAGATATTCATATGCGTGCATGCGAACATCATGTGTGCAAACCATTTTCTTAATTCCTTGGTTCTTTTGTAAATGCTGCCATATGATTTGTTTTGATCGATTTTGACTTTGTGACAAACAGACAGGCGGTATATAAATGAGCGAGAAATATGCTTAGAGGTTAATAACCAGATAGCTAGGTAGATGGTCAAAAATAAGATTACCCTATTTCGACAAACAAAACAACCAATAATACAACTGCCACATGTTGTTAGTGTCATGGAACAAAACAAGAATAAGAAGTTAATACTGTTCACTAATCAGTCAATAAAAAAATGTTTACACTTATTGAACTAGACTGTTTCCTTATACTTTGGTTCAACGCTTGTTTTGGTATGTATGTGTGTATACAAGACAAACAAGTAGTATATATACAGAATAGACTATATCAAATAAAAAAGGATTTTATAGGCCTGTATACCTGCGATCAGTTGTCCCAGACAGAGTTCGTGCAAAACCCCATAGACTGATCAATTCAGTACTCAGAGAATAAAAAACCTTACAATAAACAATAATTAAGTCAGGTCATATTCTACAGGCCCAAGGAATCAGAAAAAAAGTTTGAAATTAGGATTCATATGCCCTTAACACTGGTTAGCAAACCATATCTATGATTCAAAACCTGCATCATCTATCAGAGATGTTGCTGCGATGCTATTTCGAACACGATTGATCCCTCAAGGAACTATGATATTCACTGGGTATTAATCACTGTCCAGTCGAGAATCTGTGATATGGATGATGATAGATATGAAAATAAATATCACATAGGCAGTATTATAAGATAAATCACTCTAAATAAAATGATAAAAAAATAAATTGTCACCTGATGATGGTACATCGTCAAATTTACCACAGCTAGGATTTATCGCCGCTACAGATGATGATGACAATGGTGCAGATGGTGTGGTGCATGAAGCATCTACGGCACTTAAAGAAGTTGCGCATGCGGCTACAGCAACCGCAGACGAGTTGAATACATCATTCATAGAACATAAACTCAATTCTGACAAAAGATTAGTGCTGAAATTGTTTGAAAAAAATGTTAAAGTATGAAAATAGACTTTTTTAAATGTAAAAGATTAGTTTAACAGAATGAATAAAATACAGAAAGAACTTAATAACAGGTTATTTAAAACCAAGACTTGGCAATGTTTACATGAACACGACTGCACGTTAAGTCTTTGGTGAATCTTGATGACAAATTAGTGATAACATTTGACTGCTTAAACAGAAAATGATAATGATAACGTTATCTCCTCAGAGCTAGATGGTTTAACAGTGAATAATAATAATAATAATAATAATAATACATGCTTTGTTTAGTACCGCATGTTTGATTACAGCAAAAATATGATGCAAAGTTGCAACAAAATTTGCATTTTTCTGAGCATTTAACTTGCAAATATTCAAAAGACATACATAAAATGTTATATAAACAATGATCAATTATCATTCATATTCATATCTGTAAATGATTACGATCTGTTCTATTCATTTGACATCTTTTAACATTGTCCAGAAGATATTTGGTGCATATATTCTATCGTAATATTATATTGTTTTACTGAATGTCAGATGAGGAAAATACACAAACAAATGTGATGGTACATCTTCAGTTTTTCAATAATTAGATAGGTTGAAAACTTCTTACAAAAGCCTATAAGCATACGCTGTTAACATATATAATTAGTGAATCAAAGCAAGTCTGAAACACAAAAATTTACGGGAATAAATGTGGTCCATTAGTATAAAGAGGTTGTCATGTAGTTTTCATTGTCAGTCCGAACACCATTAGCGTCCATTTCATGAGTCAGTCAGTCAGTCAGCCACAACGTAGGACCAGGAACATATGTGCATCGGTTCAAGTTCCCACACTTCATTAGCACAACAACATAAACACCTAATTCATAGAAGCAGTTACTTCAATGGTAGTAGTAATATACAAAAGGAAGATCGATTCTGAACCATGTCAACCACAGTATCCAACCATTAGTTACGATAGTTACGTAGACCCCAACCAAGTAGTCTGCATTTACCAACATGGCTCAAAATAGAAGTTAGTGACTTTATGGATTGATACCACGTTTTGGTTTGGCCGTTCCATTATATGGAAAAAAAACATGAAGCTAGTACACTATTACAAGTACAACCCTGTGTTGAAAGCATATATAAATGATTACTATGTGTAGCTGAGACCATTTCATTGAAATCTCAGCATATAACTTGTAGCTCATAGAGCTTTACAGTCATTTAATAGATGACATTGAAAATGTTGAGGCAATCCCAAAAGTGACCCATCCAATGAGGAGATAAATCAATGTAGTGATGCTTTATCTGTTTATCATTTTCATTTCTCGAAAAATTATATGCACACAATTTTGACCAATAACTAACATGAAGATATCAAAATTGAAATAGATACACTCTACATTCAAGATTGTTTTTCATGAATTAGACAGCTTTTTTACTTGTTCACTGCAATGCTAAATTAATAACTTATTTGTGATGTAATACATCCCATTGAATTTCAAAAATAAATACTTTACATTGTTTATATTTTTATTGGATGGAATTAATAGAAAGTAGACAATACCTACTCAGATATAACTAATTATGACAACTGAACTAGGTAGGAGGAAGCGGGAAGAAAGCTAGGAACGACCAGACCGAAACTTAGCATTAATCCAAAAAATTATTGATTGTTTTTCTGGATCCAGCTAGTTAGCATACACTACCTAGTTAAGGTCAATATAATAATTGTGATTGATGGTTGAAAAGGTTGAATAACATGATCCGGATCCAGTTGTGATGGAGGAAATGAATTTACTGTTTTACTTTAGATCCTGAGCCTTGACATTACCTTACGTTCATAGAACATAATGATTATAATGAAAGGTGTGAAAGATGACTTACACTGATGACGTAGCTGGTATATTTGATTGTGAAACATCGTTAACAGGAAGTGATCCACTAACAGAAAACGATTTGCAATAATTTGTAGACGATAACTTCGGACTGATACATTGGTCAGTTGTTACGAGTGATTGACTGAGATTTAGTTGTTCAGATTTTAATTCCGATCGACTAGGAGTAGAATGTTTTGTTTGTTCACAATCAATAAATGGTCTTGGTGGAATTGGAGGCAACTGTGAACTTGTATGTTCAGGAAAAAGAAACTCCAATTCTTGAGTACTAGACTGGGGCTCTGAAGTGCATAGGAAATCGGAATCTGTCACCTAATAGGACAAAATACATAGTGAACTTACATTAATAGACAATTAGAAAATTCGGATTTATAAAAACCTAATAAGTGAATAATCAATTTTCAAGCGGAATTTCATGTAAGTTGACCTTTAACAATTGAGGTGATTTCGATATATATTACACACTTCCGGCATCAATTTACTTTTATACAGCACATGTAATGAATAGACATTATTGCAAATAAATGGAAAACAGAATCGGATCTAAACATAAACAAAGCAAAAGGAAATTTTATCCTGCTATTCAGCGAAAAACTCAGAAAGAACAGTTAGCAGTGAGGAGTATAACAACATGGAAGGAGTTGTGAGATACCAATGAGTCATGATCAAACACAATTACCATTAGTTTGGTGACATCACACCGCCTGTACCTATTCTAAGGTTGGTAACGGTCACAAGCCCACACAAAGGAGGAGGGTTTAGTATGAAGTTAGGAACCAATGATAACAATGACGACGATAGAGATCAGTTTTCTGAGTAGCTGCAATTGATCATAGAGAAGTGCCCAGAAAACGGCCTAACCATTCTGATGGGAGACCTAAACGTCGAATTCAGAATGGACAACACCGGATATCAAGATATCATGGAACGACATGGACTAAGTGGAATGGGAGGATGTGAAATGGTGAGAGATTTTTAAATTCACGTGCATTCAACAAAATTCCTAGTTCATGTAGGAAGTAATTTCTTAAAGATGCACTTCTAAACTATTTCCTAGACTGTCGAGTACAGAGTGTTAGCTTAGCCATTGTCAAGCAAGTAAGCTATGGCTCTGACAGACAAGTTCGTACAACGAAGTTGAGGACGGCAACCGAAGAAGTCGTTCACGATGTGTGAAGCTTATGCTTACTTGAAGCCGAAAAAAGCTTGGACCAGATTGTCAGGTGAAACGTTGGATTTACTTCAAATTCATTCGCTGAGATTTTACAAATACATTCTTCCTCTTTAAAACGATATTCAGTTAGCTTACTAATTTTTTCTATCCTCTAGTTACTGTTCAGCATGTTATTTACGTCTCTTGTTTCCTGTCTAATAGACTGCAATAATTGTTTAACTTGAATACTAACAGTGTTGATTTATGCTTTAGAAACATATAGTTTGACAAGCCAAATAACTTACCTTTTTTGACTTTGGTTAAGCTAAGACTGTGCTCAACGATCTAGGGGATAGTTTAAAATAACATCTATAGGAAATTAATTCCTACAGCTAGAAGGGGCTAGGTTCTGTATATGTACAGTACAACCATTAACAACAAGTCGTTCTACATTCGACCTTTTATAGTCAGAAGGAAGGAATGAAAAATGATGTGCAAGGAAGCAAAGGAGAATACAAAGAAAGTTAAATTACCATTCAGCTGAATGCTGTCATTGAATGTGAGAAGTAGGTAGTTTAAGTTTCGTGAGGATTTATTGGCTAACCATATTGTATCGTTCAGCATCATTAATTGATCAGTACTGTACTCACCAGTTCATAAACAAACAAAAGCGCACATCATAAATTAGAACCTGCTAATTAATACTAGATAACCTGAAAGGCACATCTGCAACACAGAAATCAAAATTTCAGTAGATATATTTCTAGTTCAGCAGTGGGTTGACCTTAAAAACCAGTAATATAAACGTTTACATACGAATAAAAGTGATCAGATCACACTGAAATGGTATCAGTTTGGCTAAAAACCTACTACTGTATCAAAAGTGAACGAATGTAGTATAAGTATGTCATTTATCATACTATTAATATTTAGGGATGAATGAATGGATTTCCTCAATTCTTTGAAATATGATGTTATAAAGAAATGTACACATATAGCATACTAAACCTAACGCTCAAACTGATTCTTTAGAATCTTTAGATAAACGAACCCATCAATGATAACATGAAGCGCCCACCACCACAGCATTAACTTTCTTTGACCTTGTATGACTATGCATTGTCTATTCACCAAAAATGCAGAGACAAAGAGAACTAGTATGTAACGTTTACGATCTATAATTACGAAGAACGATCTACTATCAATAATAAGTTCGTCAGTGAAGGTGGATGATGGCTGGCAGTGGAATCCAGGACGCGTGTTTCGTTTTACCTAAGACACATCAGTTGGATGTACCTGCGGCATTACTGTTTACGAAATTGAGAGGACGAAAAGCGAATGTCCGTCGCTTTAACCGGGTTGGTGGATATGGAGGATCCACCTAGGGGTGAGGTCAAAATCATCTTGAGATAACCATAAAGGGATTAGTTTAATTAATATAGCGTCTAAAATACTAACCTCAATAATATGTGTCTGGTCATGTGGTGTAGCTGACTGAATTATTTACTGGCGAAACATTCAGATAGTGAGACTATACTGGTGATATTTATTGTTTTGGTCCCATTAATCTCACTATGGGATTTAAGACCACGTTAAATTAACTTTTCTAGAGTGTCTAAATTTGCGCAAGATCATGGAACGTTTAAAGTTAGACACTAACACTGATGGATACCAGCTCAGTGATATACAGGTCAATCGTTCGCGAGCGAGACAGATCCTGAGTAAGAGTGCCGTATGCTATATCGTGGATGTGCAGTGCTGAATCACATACCAGGACGAAACGGCCTTATTGCTCCCAGGTTGTCAATGGTGGTCGAGCTTAGATCTACTCGAGAATTCAACTGCGAAAATTTTATGCATCAATACGTTTGTCATTTCAATACCTAATTGATGTATTCCAAAACTAAATACGAGTTTTACCATTTACATATTAATATGCTTTGTGCAATAGAGATAGTTCGATCATGTCAAAATGACCGCTTTATCATTAGAATATAAGTAATTTAATGTGTGCAATCAGTCGAAACCCACTGACACTACATAAAATTTTATTTAAACATCCATATTAATACAGAATATTTGGGTTTTTATTAGTTTTATGTAGCTCAATAACCAAGTAAGATTTAAGGTACTCAGTTTGAAGTCGAATTTTTTGTATGATAATTACTAAAACTAGTCAGTTGTCTAAACAAGGTTGGGGAAAGTTGTTTAAAAATCAAATTACTGCATCTGTATAGTCACAGGACTATATTACTAGTGACTAAACAAAACATTCATTTGAATGGATTCAAGTACACAGGGAATTTAGAAAGTATAATGAAAACTCCAATTCTATAAATACCGACGTAAACGTATTCTGATAGAACGGAGACCAATTACGAAAATAGTAACTAAGAGTTAAAGAAACACACTCTTGACTGTGAGATCAAGTCTAATTTAAACTGATGCTACACGACAACAAAAACACAGAGAATTTTAAAACTACAGGTAAGTTAAAATGAACTCATGTTGAGATTATCAACATGCAGATATTAATTCTAAAAAAGTGTATAATTTAACAGAGACTTAGACCTACATTTAGGGAATTTTTAGTTTTAGGTCTAGGTAATGTGGAGAATTCTTTCCGTAGATGTTGTGATTGAGATGTCTCGTCCTTAGTAATGCCTTCAGTTTGTTCCCAAGATACTTTACGCATAGATTTGAGCTGATCGGTTTTGCACTCCAATAATTTGTTTGAATTAGAGACTTGTATGGAATTGTTTATATGGTCATTTGAATGTGTAATGTGTTTCGTCATCAGTGTAGGTAATAGATCTGCTTCGAAACTAGAATTAACTGTTGCACCTTTACATGAGACATTAGACCCATGACGACTGTGATTTTGATAATGATGAGAATTTTTTGTATTATGAACAAAATTTGACAGCTTTGACGGTGATCGGAATCCAAATCCACTATTCCGCCCGTCAAATAATAACCCAGTATTGTTTGAATGACATGCGTTTGTTGATGAACTATTTTGGTTCTTTAAAATATTACTATTGTCTAGATTGCTATTATTGGAACTAGAGATGGTTGAGGAAGTTGTTCCGTATATTTTCTGAGGTAAATATGACAAGGATGGTGTGGGTAACGTAGGAGGAGGTTCTAAAATAAGTGAAGTTTTATAATTATCTTCTTCTAGAAACTTCTGTAACTCTTCTATGTAGCGTTGAGCACATAGATATGCATTGAGAGTTTCATCCACAGCAAAGGCTTAGTAATTTGAATAAGAAAGATAGCATTAAATCTCTAAAAATTCAAAATCAAAATCTTTAAATGCAAATAGAATGGTAACAAATCAAGTCTCTTGTGTGGTAACCTGCCCCCAAATGCCCTGGTACGGCCCATAGTGGAGAGACTCCGCTCTCCCTCTAGAAATTTTCTCATATGGCCACGCGTAAATAGCCTCTGACAGGGAAGTCCTACTCACTGCCTTTTCGCGCCATTACTGTTGTTTATAAAAGTAAGAGGACGAAAAGCAAATGTCCGGCGCTTTAAACGGGTTGATGGATACGGTGAGTTCACCTACGGGAGTTGAGAGAACCTGATTCCAAACCAATGGTGAACATAGGCTCCAGTATCCTGAGTGAACAAATGGGTATGGACCAATTATTGGCCACCGGCTATCATGAAACTGTATCTCCTTACGATGCTCCACTGCCTTGTGTATCAGACCTTCAGGTTGACGGCTCCGGGTGAGGTCCACTAAGAAAACCACCTGGTTCGGTCTGGACACCCAGGCAGTATCATAGCAATCATACAAATCTAATGAGATGATAATTATTTCACGAAATACAACGCTTCTTGATTAACGACGATTAGACTAATTGGAAGGTAATGGAGTCAACGTAAACGAGAGGATTTTTTTCAAATAGCTGTGAAAATGTAATATATTAAACATAGTTGACATGTGCGGTTTATTGGACAGTAGTCAGTCAGTCAGTCAGCTACAACGTAGAACCATGCACTTATGTGCATCGGTCCAGGTTGCCATACCGCATCAGCACAACAAGATGAACACCGGATTCATAACAGTGGTTAGGTAAAAGGTGGTAATATATAAGAGAAAGATTGCATATAGAGATATAGTACAAGAAGAAAGAATTGGTTAGTAGAAAGAAAGATATGAAGCGCTTTTAATCTCTTAGTTTAAGGGAAGAAACCGAGTGTATACACCGACGCCATTGTGATCGATTCTGAGCCATGTCACCAAGAGTCTCCAACCATTGGTTACGATAGTCACGCGGACCCCAACCAAGTAGTCTGCATCTACCAACATGGCTCAGACTAGAAGTTAGTGACTTCAAGCACTGATGCCACGTTTTGGTTTGGCCGCCCCTAACTTTCTTCCAACCATCCCCAACACCGGATAGCATTGCACGTCGTGGTAATCGGTGTTCAGGCATACGTAACACGTGGCCCAACCATCTCAGTCGATGAAGATTCATAACCTCATCAACTGATTTACCATCCTTTCCTAATACCCTGCGTTGGACAGTAACTTTAAGATAACTCGACAAGTATGATACGGAAAATAACAGTTAACTGTTTGAGTACTGAGTGTCTAAATAGTAAAATGCAAAAATAAAACGTCAGTTAATGATGATTTGTTATACAATTTTTAGTCTTAGCATATAAACTGAGGAATCCCAACCAATACATATATTACAAAATTAAAACATCAAAAGGAGGATTTCATTCAACTCACAGTATTCAGATTGTTGAAAATATGCTATTTTATCAATAATCGAGTTGATTTTTGTGAACCATACGGCAGTTGGTTTTCCATTTATACGCGGTTGAGCAACATTTGTATACGTTAAATCAGACAAATATAAACCTAAAAATTATGATTAAAAAAGACACTCTAAGTGGTAGCTAGCAAAGCATGTAGGATCTAACTCTTACAAAATTCAGTCATGATGGCAAAAGATAACAAACGAGCGGAGACCAATAATAAAAATGTTAAAACAAGCAAATTAATTTCCAAAAGTCTAATTAATAATGCAGCACACTTAGTAAATTACATCACTTGAAACGTAACGTTAAAGTACACTGTAGTGCCCACAAATGCCCTCTCGAAATGCTCTCACACGGCCACGCATATACAGCCTCTGCCAGGGAAGTCCTACCCACTGCTTCTCGTGGCGGGGATGTTGTTTACAAAAATGAGAGGACGAAAAGCGAATGTCCGGCACTTTAACAGGATTTCAAACCAATGGTGAACATGGGTTCCAGGATCCTGAGGGAACAAATGGCGTATGAACCAATCGTTGGTCACCGGCCACCATGAGAATACATCTCCTTACGATGCTCCACTGCCTTGTGTACCAGACGTTTAGGTCAAAGGCTCGGGGTGTAGCCCCCTAAGAAAACCACCTGCTTCTGTTTGGGCACCCGGGCAGTATCACGGCCCACACACAAATATGGTGTGGCGCATATATATTTGGTGCCCTCTTGTACCAACATTTATGTGTTCAAATACAATAAACACCGTAGTGCTATTACTTGGTTACCCAAACCGAAGATGGATTTGGTGTCAAAACTTCGGACTAACTACTTCAAATAGTACAATTAATTAACCGTTACAACTGCATTAATGAAGAAAACTGGATCGTAGCAATTGATACTTGGAGAAAGTTGTGATTAAGTGTAAGGTCAACGTCGTGATTGGTAAGAATCGTACGTGAAATACCCCATATTTTATTGTAAATTTCGGCTCAAGTGAAGAGTCACTTCATAAGATTACTAAACACCTTAAAGATGGAAAACATGTCTAATATCCCATGACTTTTAATAAATCCAGAGGTCAGGAACATACAAGCGTTCACAAACACATCAACAACTTTTACTAGATATACAACCTACCAATCATTTAGGCACAAGTTGGGAAGTCATAGATAAATATTTGATAGATTAAGAATTAGGAGAAAGTAAACCGAACCGCCTGGAGTCCCTCCGGGGGCTACTGCCGGTCCCAAGCCCGGATAAAGGAGGAAAGTTGGGCATGGGGTTAGCGTCCCCATCCAGCAGAAAACTGACTAGCTAAAAAAACGCTAACCAGAAAAAAATTATTCAAAATCGAACCGTATTTTCCTGACGACAGATTAATTGCAAGTATTAATTTTATGAGAAAAATGGTACCTATCGAAAAACACATGAATCCTGGTATTTAAGTTATTTGAAAATATTTATACTATGACGGCATAAATGATGTCTCGCAAAGACAAGAAACAAATGACACGAAGCATATGAGAAAAAAGCTATGAAAGACAAGTTACTAAACTATTAATAGTAACTCGCGCAGTGCACCATATGGGACACGATGAAACTCACTACTGTGAGAAGGCTCAAAATAGCACCTGGCAGTCTAGGGTTTAGTAAAATACAATGCTTCATAACCTGGAAAGAGGGATGTGTAAAATGATGAGCTAAAGCTTCCGATTGTGCAATCAAGATCATCAAACAAGCATTACCTAGGTAAGGGATACCAGGAAGACTGATAGAATTCATATGTTCACGCTGTCTGCGGCAATTATCATTCTGACTGAAAAGCTCCTCCAGACGCCTGTACGCTGCACGATCTTTGTTTCCGAGACCAGCCCATGTGTGCCTCAAACGATATATGCATTCCACTTGTAGAGCAGATATTATTGACATAGCAGAGTACAGATTATTAAATTCCACAAGTTTCTGGAGTAAACAAAAACAGAATTTCAAAGGCTGTTTGAAAACATATTGTGTTTAGTTAAATAGAAATAATATATCTAAAACAATGTCTCGGTAACTTTAGGTAACATGAAAAGACGAAGTTTGACGGACTGTGTGATATGATAGTGCAATACATTTGAAGAAACAAACACAAACCTACTTTGGAAATCTTGATAAAAAATGACAACATCTCAGTTCTCTTTGAAACGCATGAGTATTTTAAGATTTCTTTTTGAACCCAGAAATTAATCTGAAAACGTTTAAGCACAAACATAAATTACTTGATTAAACCATCTGGTTGAGGCAACGATATTCGGAGCGCACAAGTGTTTTTCCCTGCCATTCCATTTTAAACTTGCAAACTCCTATGGAACACCTTAAAAAGTTCTATCTACGGCTTACCTCTCTATGTATGGCTTTAAAGTACGAAAGTTCTATCAAAGTGATTTGTTTCTGCGGTATTATTTATATGACACACTTACTGCAAATTCTTCGGGGCTGACTTTCGTAATATCAGCAAAAGCTACATCTTCAGCTAGAGAAGAGGCTGGAGTCTGGTCCGATGTCAGAGGCTGATAGCATCCTGTTGGCTTTACATACTCCATCAAAATCAATAACTATCTCTTTATAAATCCTCAACGAATAAAAGTTTCCGATTTGTGATTTTTCCCCTTATTATAAACCCAGTTAGTTTTAGCTTGCCATTCCATACTCAAAAAATCGCGCCGAAGAAAAAGGACGAAAATAGCGCTTAGGTCGTAAGCTTAAACAACTAAAAGCCTATACATTAAATTGAAACATGAGAATCACATTTAAGTTTCGCTAGCAGTTATTTTTTTGAAATAATGTTGCTTGTGACTTGAATTTTGAGCGGCAATTTAAGTCAAATAGCAATGCCTGACTTAAAATGTCCATTCCTGTGAATCACTTAGGAGCGACTAATATTGTGTTGGTAAGTAGTAATTATTTCCTCCTCAATATCATCGATTGTAATTTGCACACCATGCCCAGTATATGCTGCCTATTACTAGAGACGTGTTGGTCATAAATTGGTGGTTTTCTAGTATTTGTATCAGTTATCAGGAATTTTGCACTTTCACGAAATTACCTGGTTCTTCGAGCTGTCTTCGCACTTCTCACTTGTGCTAGTCTAATATTTTGTGGTCTCTTTAGAGCAAAACCTTAAATGTTAGACGTATTTTTGGTGATAACAAGTAAAGTTTGAGTTGAATTTTAAACGTACCTGGAAACTGGAAACTCAGCTGTTTTTACCGTACTAAGTTTACTGGCGTTCAAGCAACGCTCTCACAAGCTTTGGTAGTTGAATTTCACCCACGCGTTTAGCACTGATTGTTCGTACGAAAATGTTGTTAAGCGTGTGTAGTTGCAGATATTTGACCAGATAGAATATCGATCTCGAGTTAAGTAAACTCAGATGCTGTCTAAAATCTCCAGAAACCGGCAATTTTCATCTGATGGAACTGAAGTTATCCTAATAAAACCAGCCTACTGCTGGATAACTGTTTGATTTGGTTGCTTGACTCCATGTTCTAAAGGAAAACCTGTTATAATACTTGAAACGTTTTGTTGTACTTATTGTGGTTGCTTTACGCATTTTATAGTCTCAAGCCTGGCAGCTAGGATCCCTAAAATAATGGAGCACTTTTTTGAGGTCGAAATTTTAAAATCGTGTTTCGTCAGAAGTCATCGTAATTATAGTTGTTAACTTTTATTGAAAGAAAACTCACTTGTTACCAGTTTCCAATTCTAACTTTCTTGCTTTGCTTCTTCAAACATCTCATCTATCTTTCAAGAGCCCCAACAAGTGCACTCAAAGTCATTCATAACGTAGGACAATGCAGATATCGATTGGCACAGGTAGTAATACGTCAGCAACAAAATGATAAATTCTAACAAACTAAAAATCTAATTATCTATATCATACTAGTGATATCCGCTTTGTCTCCACTGGGTCGTCACGACAAACTGATAAACCGTCTAACCAAGACAACATTTGTGGTCGTAATTGTTTCCATAGCCTTTTATCCCCGGACTTAACGTAATGGCATTTTTGTATTCGCATGACAAGTTACTATCCGCTTCGTGTTTCCTCAGCAGCTCAGATAGGATGAAACCGAAAAGGCCCAATGCGCAAAAATCGTCCACTATCCATTCATAAAGTTACTGATTAATGATCCGCCCCGTAGCCAGACTCGAACTACAGCAAAATCCTATCAGTTTTTTCGCATTATGAACATAGAGTGGTGAATTTCGGTCATTGTTTTCTTTTTATTATGGATAGTTGATGGAAATTAATAAAACTCTAATAAAGGATTTCCAAACTAACTTAAATGGTAATTCGGACATAATTAGCATAGAGCTTGACATTATTGTGGATAAGTTGGACAGTTTGTTGATATCTTCATTCAGAGCATTCATACATAACAGTTTATACAAGATCACATCCGAGAAAAGTGTTGCGTCTAAAACCGTACTCATGACTAAGATTAATATGGGTGACAAAGATTAGCAAAACGAACGGTTTCCTTTAGATTTATCTAGTTCACAATATAGCACGCTGTTAATTTTATTTCTACTACAAAGATTAAATCACACAGTCTTCAGTCATTGCTGAACCCGCAAAATTATTCGCCCAGTAGATTCAAGCTATGTAAATGTTGGTAAGTGTAAGGTGTAGTGTTTAAGTCGATTCATACTTGTGTGCCTAATTTCTATGAATTTACTGTACGCAAAGTACATCGTAAACAACACTTGTGTGCCTCAGTCAGTAACAACGTAGAACTTCGTATGTACGTACATCAGTTCGAGTTGCCACACCACGTTAGCACAGATATGCAGTTGTCCATTCGAATCTCGTAGTGGTAGAGGTAATAAGAGTAAGCAGTAATCGGGAATATTAGTGTTTGGAGATGTTACTTAAAGAGTATAATACAGTGAAACAAATTTGGGAAGAAAAAAAGACAAGGAGATTAGAATTTCGGAGAACACAAAGAGTGTATGCACCTGCGCCATTGCAAACGATTTTGAGCCATGTCATTCAGGGTCTCTAACCATCGGTTGCTATCATCTCGCAGTCCTCCCCCAGGTAGTCTACACCTACCAATATGACTCTGTTCACTTGTCAGTGACTTCATGGACTTGTGCCATGTTTTGGTCTGGCCGCCCCTAGCTTTATTCCAACCTACTCCTATACCACTGAACATCGCACGTCGAGGCAGTCGGTGGTTGGGCATACGTAACACATGTCCCAGCCATCTCAACTGATGAAGTTTCACTATGTAACAGCAGTTTCCCCCGTAACAAGCCACGAGACCTAGTTGGTCACTTGTGTGCCTAATTTCTATGAATTTGCTGTACGCATAGTACATTTGTGTATGATCGTAAATGTCAAGAGGCAGGAAACGATATTTGTTAAACTAATTTCCATGCAGTTATCACAGTAGACTATCTGATTTTTTTTTCCTTATTTGTTTGTAAATTGGGTTAGTTGAACTCGAATTCCCTCAGTGTCTTGTAGACCGTGTGCACTATTGGTTTGGAGTCAGGGTTTTCCAATTCCCCTAGGTAGATCCTCCATATCCGCAAACCCGGTTAAAGCGCCGGACATTCGCTTTCTGTCCTCTCAATTTCGTAAACATCTGTAGTGCCGCGAGAAGGCAATGAGTAGGATCTCTTTTGGAGTGGTTGTATGCACGTCGCCATGTGAGAGCATTTGGGGGCTTTCTGAAAACAAATCCAACTCTCAAATTTCAAGTAACTCCAATCTGTTTAACTATTATGCCTAGAGACTTCTGGACCTAATTAGTCAATCCAACTACTCTCTTTTACTATCATTAGCGCTGCTACTATCCGAACTCCTTTACCACTCAACTTACTAGTTTTATCTCTTTATACTGATGTTGTGTGACAAATGGAACGGATTCATATTTATCCCAGATTCTACGTTTATTTTAATTGGTTGACTGCTCCGTTTTCCACTTCATGTTAGTCATAGTCTTCACAGTCTTGCTGAGCGTTTAAGGCCTGATATCAGTCTGTAGAATGGTAGTGATCTATCGTCGATATTAGTAGTGTTTTTCCTGCAATCAGTAAGGTAGTTTTTAAGGTTAGTATCTTTTTCTACTTTCTATATATTTTTTCCATTGTAACTACAACAGTTGTTTTTTCCATAAATTCATAATCCAGAGCTACATTTCCAACTCACAGAAATACTCGATGACCACCACGTATAACGAAATATTTGTATGAAAAAAGTCATTTTATCATAGAAAAATTTTTCATTTGTTTAGTTAATTTGTGTTTGCACTTTTTTAGTGATTTAACTATAAGGTGCTTCATAGCTTTTATTTTGTTTTCGAAACCCTAATTTTCTATAACCTTTTCCTTTGCTCACTTCAGGCTACTGATAATCCACGACAATCTTCCACTTGTTTGGAATCAGTTTCTGTTCATGATAAAACTGAAGTGCATGTTGGAAGTCTTGGTTTAGGAACAGCCTTAGCCGTTGCTTATGATCTATGCAGTGATAATGGGATTGTGAATCAGTTCAATACCAACGCTAATTTATGTGCCTCAAATCCTCAACTTGCAAATTTCCTTTCATTATCTGCAATCAAATCACCAAATTCACAATTTTCAACTCATTGTCGTAGTACATCTCTATCTGACCAACATACATATAATATTTATTCTAATTACTTTACAAATAATTCATTATGGACATTACAACATACTGATAGTTACCTAACTCCTATCTCATCTGCATCTACAATATTTGATAGTTCTAATTCAATAAAATCACTCGCAAATGATAATGATCATTCCAAATCTATTTCTTCCACTTGCGATTTCTCAAATAAAAGTAACTATTTTCCTCATGTCACTCTTAATAGTAGTGTATGCCAACCAAATGATGTAGTTTGTTCAATTGGAAGCATGATTGATGGTCATTACAATAATAATCACAACAATATTGATACCAGTCCACATGTTTCTAATTTACCTACTGCATCGAGTGGACAGATTAATACAAATAATTCAGATAATGAGTGTATAGGTATTAATCAAGGAATTACATCAAATAATTACGACAATAATAATATTGTTTTGAAGGAAACGACAGATACAAATCATGTTACTTCATCGTCTGCTAGTTCTATTGATGACAGTTTATATCAGTTATCTGAGGAAGAAATGAAAGAAATAGATACATCAGTGAGTTGTTTTTCGTTTTATTTATATAGCGTAGGAAAGCTTTTTTAAAAATTTTGCTATTTTACGTCTGTACCCCACATGCTTTTGTCTAAAACGAAACGCGTAATTACACCTTTTCAGTTTTGATGTTGAAGCTAAAATAAACTGCGAGGAAGTAAAGTGAATTCTATAATCGTGGCGAAAACTAGACTGGCCAATATGCTTATTCACCAATACATTTATTTATTGGTATCATGTTAAGTTTGATTAACCTTCTCAAAAAATCACAACCTTCACTAAAAACTCGTCTGAATACTGTACACTTAATCTGGAACAGCTGTGAATAAAGGGAAGATAGATCCTTTTTGAGATCCGTAAATATGATTCGAATTATGCGTTTACCTCTTGGCTGATTAAAGGTATTCGAGAAAAACAAAATAATGGTGCAACTCTTTTTATGAAAAAGCGTTTTCACTGTGTTGTTGTGTTATGGCTTTTTATAATTTATATTAAAAACTCCTAAGGAACGATGTAATGCGCCGATGAATTAGTAATGTCCAGTGATACAAATTAGCCAAGTGATGGTTGCATGCAAGACGGGATGGACTCAAGCTTCAGAAAAAACTGTGCCCAAAGATATGACCACTGAGCAGAAGGATTGGCTTTTCTGACAAAATAGCATGCTTGTATTATAAAATGTGAAACACCAGAATAAACGTATTAAGAAACCATTCGAGAAATAAACGATTGGAGCATATAGCAAATATACCTCAATTATTCCAATGGAATCGATAGTCGATTTTGGACCGTAGTTCTTGCCCCATCAAAACATTTACTCGACAAAATGATGTGTGGTTTTTCTTTGGCAACACTCATAAAAGGATGTCACTTTTGACTCGATCCATATATTAGTTACGAATACGTTTTGTCTATCAAGATAACGAATAGAATAGGGGTTAATAGGTTGTACAAAATAATACAATATAACCAACTGATGAAACTAACTTACTCATCGACATGTAGACACACTGCTCAATGGTTCCGTCTGGACTATTATATGCCTGCGAAACGTGGTCTATGAAGATACAACAGATATGCAGGCCTCACGTTTTGGAACACCGATGTCTTCATCGCACTGCACTGTATCTCAGATCAATCGCGTGACCGATACCGAGGTTAAGAATTGAGCACTGAAAAAAATCTCAAGTAGGTCGGTAAGGTTATGTATCTTCATCGAGTGGTCAAGGTATGTGTTACACATGACTAACCACTATCAACCTCAACAGAGTTTTATAGCTGGTGTAGGAGTAAGTTAGGAAAAATCAATACGTCACATTAATCCATAAAATCACTGACTTTTGAACTGAACCATGTCGGTAGCTGCAGGCGACCTGGTTGAGGTCAGCCTGATAACCACAATCGGTGATTGAAGACATTGGATAACATGGCTCGAAGTCTGTCACAATGGTCCAGTTACACGTGTTGCTTATCTTACTCTGATTCTTGAATTCCAGCATTCCTTTTCTTTCTGTCCGTTTAAACCTTATTTTCAATGTTTAGTCTTTCTAATTGGCATTGCACTACTGTTCATCTTGTCCATTTTATCACGTTGTGCTGATGTGGTATGACAACTTGTATCGACCCATATCTGTGCCAAGGCTGAACTTTACTGACAAGTTTCGACTAACATAAAGTTTATTTATTTATTTCAACAAATAGATAATGGTACAAAGAGGCACCAAATACATATGCGCCACACAAATCTCATTCGATATGTGTGAGGGCTTTGATACTGCCCGGGTGCCCAAACCGAAACAGGTGGTTTTCTTAGGGGGCCACACCCCGAGCCTTCGACCTGAAGGTCTGATCCACAAAGCAGTGGAGCACCGTAAGGAGATGCCGTCCCATGGAAGCCGGTGACCAACAATTGGTCCATTCGCCATTTGTTCCCTCAGGATACTGGAGCCCATGTTCACCAATGATTTGAAATCCGGTTAAAGCGCCGGACATTCGCTTTTCGTCCTCTCATTTTCGTAACCAACACCCCCGCCACGAAAAGGCAGTGAGTAGGACTTCCCTGACAGAGGCTATATACGCGTGGCCGTGTGAGAGTATTTCGAGAGGGAGAGCGGACTTTCCCCACTCTCGGCCGTACCAGGGTATAAACTCAGAACTTCCAAGCCAGTCATATCATTCGAATGATAAGAACTTTGTAACTTCAATCGTCTACATTGTTTTTCAAAACTAAGATTTTTAAAGTTAAACAGATGAATCAGGAAATTAGTTCACAATATCGTGTTTAACTGATTATTATTGAATGTTACCATATAATAACATATTTTCCAGTGTAACGATTGAAGTAAAGAACATTTGTGCCAGACTCTACATTGATCACGACTTGAATTAAAGCCATATAATCTCTTTGTTTAGCCTGTGCATTATACTATTGCAATTAGTATGGTCATAACACCTTGTCACATTTTAAAATAATTCAAGAATCATTGATCATCCTACATTTTATTCACAAACTATTTCACAGAATTACTTTTAAAATACTATTCAAAATCCTTTAGATTTCTTTCGTCTGAACATATTTCAAACGTATTCCACTAATTAATAACCAGAGATATTAGATATACACAGCAAGCGTGTCCTTGACATCTTATTTTGATTCGGGTACCACATTTCACCATTTATTTTTACAATTCAACTGGTAACTTAATTCATTACAGATTATAAATTATACCGAAGTCTTACCACATAGACTTATTAGCATTGAAGTAAGATGTCTATTTACGTTTAAACAACTCAATACTTATCATATCCAACATCAAAATTTTATTCTTTAGGCTAGCGGTTTTTCAAATCAGACAACTAAAATGAGAAGTTTATTTGTAAATTTTCAATTATTACACACATCTATCTATTCAATCATCAATCATGTTCAACCATATCTATCTGGTATATATTGTTAGAATCAATAAAACAAGTCATTCACATGAAGTTGATCTGTTTTACTGATTCTATTTAAACCCCTTGTATATTCAGTTTACATATGTTCGATATAAATTACGTTACACCTAAACACCTTTTGATAAAATAGTAATCATTTTCTTCACTTCAAAATGTTTCAAAATTTTATAGAAACTGGATATTTTCTATTTAATCTAAATAAATGACCCTTTAGTCAATATATATATATATATATATATATATATATATATATATATAGAGAGAGAGAGAGAGAGAGACAAGTTGATATTGTCACTTATGTTTTTTTAAAGTCTATGTGTGTACGTATGATACTATGGTTTCTCTTTTTATTCCATCTCCTATTTATTTTACCAATATTTTAGTCAACATAACTCGATTGCGTCATCATAATTAGCAACCGTGACCATCACTTCAGGTTAAAAGCTACGGCCATGGTTTTCTTATATTTCTTTGAATGAAATCGAATTCTCTTGATAGTATTTACGAATCATTTAAGTGACAGTATTCATTGTTAAGGAATATTAGACACGTCCCAGAATAGAAGCCAGTGGCAATTCTATTGTAGTTTTCTTCTAGATTGTTTATAATGAAATAAGCTTCCTCAACTGGAAAAAGTCTTTTTTGGACGTTACTATGTTTCTTACTACATACTACAATGATTTATTTAATTATTGACTGTACTGCCTTCACCCCTTAAATTTCCTTACAATATCTCCACGTCGTCTATGCGAAGCACTTTTTATTGATGTATTGCACCTGGATATATGTGCTCTAAATAAACACCGTTGAATGCATCTAAACTTTAATGCATAAATTTGCACTATCTATGTATATCTATTTACCTGTTTTACTTAAAGCAAATATCCTCATTCAACTTTAAATGACATTTTTATGGTGTTTAGTGATACAAATATCAAACTACTCAGAGAAAGTAAGTTGAGTGGGATTCGGACTTGTATCCACAAGTAATTTAACTTATTAACCTCCACTCTAAATACACATACAACAATATTTATTTTTTAGGTGTCATTACCAAGGTTTGATTTGATAATTTCGAATAAATTGAGCATTGGGTTCATTGTTATAAATAAAAATAATATATTTGTAATATCCCAATGAGTAGAAAATTGGATTTTCTGACGTTTCGTGACTTAGTGTAAGTCACTTCTTCAGAGAATAAATAACCAAATTAAAATTAATCCAAGTTTAAATAGTACTATTTAAACTTGGATTAATTTTAATTTGGATATTTATTCTCTGAAGAAGTGACTTACACTAAGTCACGAAACGTCAGAAAATCCAATTTTCTACTCATTGGAATATTACAAATATATTATTTTTATTTATAATATTTATTTTTGCTGTGTTATTGCTTTTATTGATAGAAAACTGGTTATTCCTGTTTAAAACTCAATAAACTTTGGCAAATTTACGTATTAGGGTGTGAATAACATGTTTAATGACTACGAAACTTTCACTATATGGACCAAATTTCAAATATCCGACCGAATTAACAGAAATCGACAGTACAAATCATTGATGAATAATCAATTGAATGGAACTCGTCACTGCACACCAACTTCCTTGATTATGAGGAAGCGCTTCACAGCGTGGATGGAAGAACCTTATGGAACGCTTTTTGACACTATAGTGTGAGTAGCTGAGAAAATCGTCAGCATCACCCCCAAATGCCCTGGTATAGCCGAGGGTAGGGAGGGTCAACTCTCCCTCTCCAAATGCTCCCACATGGCTACGTGCATACAACCACTCCCAGGGAACTCCTACTCACTGCCTTCTCGCTGCATTACTGTTGTTTACGATGTACTTTGCGTACAGTAAATTCATAGAAATTAGGCACACAAGTATGAATCGACTTAAACTACACCTTACACTTACCAACATTTACATAGCTTGACTCTACTGGGCGAATAATTTTGCGGGTTCAGCAATGACTGAAAGCTGTGTGATTTAATCTTTGTAGTAGAAATAAAATTAACAGCGTGCTATATTATGAACTAGATAAATCTAAAGGAAACCGTTCGTTTTGCTAATCTTTGTCACCCATATTAATTTTAGTCATGAGTACGGTTTTAGACGCAACACTTTTCTCGGATGTGATCTTGTATAAACCGTTATGTATGAATGCTCTGAATGAAGATATCAACAAACTGTCCAACTTATCCACAATAATGTCAAGCTCTATGCTAATTATGTCCGAATTACCATTTAAGTTAGTTTGGAAATCCTTTATTAGAGTTTTATTAATATCCATTAGCTATCCATAATAAAAAGAAAACAATGACCGAAATTCACCACTCTATGTTCATAATGCGAAAAAACTGATAGCATTTTGCTGTAGTTCGAGTCTGGCTACGGGGCGGATCATTAATCAGTAACTTTATGAATGGATAGGAGATGATTCCAAACCAATGGTGTGCGTGGGCTCCAGGATTCTGAGGGAACAAATGGCGTATGAACCTGTTTTTGGTCACTGGTTACCATGTCACTGCATCTCCTGACGTTGCTCCACTGCCTTGCGGATCAGACCTTTATTTCGAAGGCTCCGGGAGTGGCCTCTTGAATAAACCACTTTTTTCGGTCTGGGCTCCCGGGCAGTATCGCAGCCCACGCACAAATCAAGTGATTTATATGGCGAGTGTGTATTTGGTGCCCCTTCGAACCAATATCTATGTGTTCAAATAAATGTATACTAAGATTATTTCACTTTACTGTATTTAATGCTTTAAAAAGTAATGATAATGATATTAATAATAATCCAACTTGCATAATAAATGTACAAGCTTATGTAGTTTATATTAAGTTGCATACTATTTATACGTAAGGTAACTTCCTTATTGCTATTCAAGTACTTAACTGATGAGTAGAGAAATGAATGGTGGTTTTCAGACTTGTAACTCAATAGTTGAATATTGCGATTGAATTAAAATCAAAGTGGCTTAAGTTACAAATCACACTATTCTACTAGCTGATTTATGCAATCTAACTGCAAAGCCATTGTCATTTTCACTTCACCTATCTTCAGGAATTATGATTTCTAGAAAAAAGTAGTTGAAACATTGTTTTTAGATTATTAACTCCCAATGACGTAATATTTGTTGTCTTATAACAACTATGTAGTTTGGTTTGTTTATCGACCTAATCCAGTCAGTTTATATTATGAAAAAGATTGCATATTCCATTAGGTACTTCTATGGGAGGAATTTGCTTGAAGATTCGTTGTTGTGCTATAAAAACGTCAGGATGGTGTTAGAAAATTAAGGGTTAATAGCTTAAGGGGTATCTGTAGCAAACCAGACTTTACGAACTATGTGCTGCAAAAATTGCCTCTAAAAACCTATCAGTTATAAGTGAATGACTTAAACGACATTTGTCTTGGTTTCTAATAATTTGCTTTATATTTGGTAATGAGCTAAATATTGAATGAACTTAACAGCACACTTCATGTCAAATAATGAATTTCTCTCTTTCATGAACCTATCGTACTGAAAGGCATTTATCATTGAAGTTTGTCATAAACAATACGCTGAACTGTACAAAAATCTTAAATAAAATGACTCGTCTGTATTTGCTTAATTATAATTGATGTATGATAAACATCTTTAGTAATTAGGTTACCTCCTGCAATTACACTTAACTTTTTTTATTTAACTATAAATTACATTAATTTTCAACCAAAGTAATCAGATGATTCTGTGTAGTCATGAATTTTCATGTTTCATTGTACAAATTGTTGAGATGCATCATATGATATAAAGACGGAAATTGTGTTTATTTTTGTTATTTAAATTGAGTTTCTGGATCTCCATCAGAGATTTATAATAATGGTGAAGAACATTAGTACTAAGATAATTACTACTGGAAAAATTAGTCTTGCTTCAACGCTCATTCGGATAAATTATATTCACAATCATTCAGTAAGTAACAACGTAGAACTTCGTATGTACGTACATCAGTTCGAGTTGCCACACCACGTTAGCACAGATATGCAGTTGTCCATTCGAATCTCGTAGTGGTAGAGGTAATAAGAGTAAGCAGTAATCGGGAAGATTAGTGTTTGGAGATGTAACTTGAAGAGTATAATACAGTGAAATAAATTTGGAAAGAGAAAAAAGAGACAAGGAGGAATCAGGCGATCAACATTTGGGAGAACACAAAGAGTGTATGCACCTGCGCCATTGCAAACGATTTTGAGCCATGTCATTCAGGGTCTCTAACCATCGGTTGCTATCATCTCGCGGTCCCCAACCAGGTAGTCTACACCTACCAACATGACTCAGTCCACTTGTCAGTGACTTCATGGATTTGTGCCATGTTTTGGTTTGGCCGCCCCTAGCTTTCTTCCAACCTACTCCTATACCACTGAACATCGCACGTCGAGGCAGTCGGTGGTTGGGCATATGTAATACTTGTCCCAGCCATCTCAACTGATGAAGTTTCACTACTTCATCAATTGATTTGCCATCCTTACCTAGTACCCGTTTCCTAACAACTGCGTTACTTACTTGATGGTCCCAGGATATATGAGCAATATTTCGAAGTCACCTATGATCAAACACTAGTAACTTACGAATATCCTCTACTCTTACCGGCCACGTTTCACTGCCATAAAGTAGGACGGAACGAACTGCTGCGCAGTGAACATGTCCTTTGGTTGGTAGACGTATATCTCGCCTACGCCATAAATGACGCAAGTTGGCAAAAGCTAGTCGAGCCTTCTGTATCCGTGCTGAGATTTCGTCACACACCAGACCACAAGGGCCGATTTTCACAATCATATAACATTCGTTGTCATTTCTTTTATGCTACATCGCTTATGTACTCCGCTTTATTCTCGTTTTCCGTATTTTATTTTTAAACCTATACAGTAGCTCGTCTATGGTGGAAACCATATCCTATCTAAGCGATCTCAAATCACTGATCAGTTAAAAGTTTAATAAAACAGTCTTTCCGAAGTCATGTATGCCATTCAAACCGGCCTCCTTCAACGTTCGCACAATAATGTAGATCGGACAACAGATGAGGTTGGCTATGCCTTTATAAAGTCTTGATATCGATGTCTGTTGTGTATTCAAGACCTGTGTTCAAGACTGGTGAAGTACAGCAAATTTACTCTCAGTCTGTCACCTCAGAAACCTTGTTTCACATGCGTTTATCCGGAGACTCTGTGGTATCTTTATCTCGTTTTCCTTGCGTTAGTGTCGCACTAAACGCTATAGCCGATGTAGCACTGATCGATTGGTTCCTCATTAGTAGTCGATTATATGCTGTTAGATTAGAAAGTTCCATCAAATTGAAAAGAAATCGATGTGAGAAACGATGTCTTTTGTCATCTTTGCCTATGCTCTTATAGATTGCAGCCCGGATGCGATCAATGATGTTTATGGCTGACACCAACTACTGGCATGGTCATCGCCGATGTGCTACCTGGCATCCTCCCTCTTCATCTCAAGCCTCTTTTCAAATTAAACACATTGCGATCAGCTACCGCTCACACGGTTGTGTACAAGACTGCTGCTCCTTTTGGAGTACCTATCTGGATTCAGACCATGCCCTTGTTTGCGCTAATCTTACCTTACGTTTCAGTGACCAATAAATCCATCGCCCGTCGTTCTACTCCGGATGACCATAAACGAAGACTGTTACATGATGAGATTGTGAAAAGTCTGCGTAAAGACCGAGAAGTTTGGTGGCTGAAGCGTGCTAATGAGTTGGAAGTAGCAGCTGCATCGGGAAACTTCCGGGAGCTCTTTCAACTAACGCTATCCACGGATAGCGAGAAATTTGGTACGAGGGAGACAATCTGTGAAGATGATGGGATGCCAATCAACAATATCGCTAGGGACTGCAACTTCTGAAGCACCACAAATCACCAGGCATATATTATATACCTCCACCCCTTTTTATAAAGATAGTGGCGACTTTCTGGTTATGGGACCGATTATGTTGTTTACAGAGATCTGGCAATTACACAATGTTCCAACATCGTGGAATGAGTCGGTAGTTATCATTATCTTTAAAAATTGTTCACGTCGTTTCTGTAACGACTATCAGGGCGATAAGTCTCCTTCCGAACGCGTCCAAACTATTGGCTTCCGTCATACTTCGTAGATTGTTCGAAACCCGAGGGAGATTGACTGGCGAGGAACAGGCTGTAACTTCTTTAGCTGGAAGAATTGTCTCTGGCTGTACTTTTTCTAATGGAACTGTTTCTCTCGTCATTATTATTTTACTCTCATATACTGATTTCTGTTTTTTTGTTGTTCTCCTCTTTTTTATATCCACTTTACATTCTCTATCTCTTGACAGCCTCATTGTTATCGTTTGGCGCATATGTATTTGGTTCCCTTTTGTACCAATATCTATGTGTTCAAATAAATGTATACTAAGATTATTTCACTTTACTGTATTTAATGCTTTAAAAAGTAATGATAATAATATTAATAATAATCCAACTTACATAAAAAAATGTACAAGCTTATGTAGTTAATATTAAGTTGCATACTATTTATACGTAAGGTAACTTCCTTATTGCTATTCAAGTACTTAACTGATGAGTAGAGAAATGTATGGTGGTTTTCAGACTTAATAATTGAATAACAGAATATGTTCTAATCACTAAATTAGTCGTAAAATGTTACAACAAACTATGATCATTCGTAAATTGCACAACAATCTACTGTATTTGTTTAAAATAAAAAACAACACATATGGGAATACGTTTGATAATAGCTATAAGATTAGGAGGTCTTTTTGTACATTTAAGGAGTTTCATATCAAAATCGTGTGATCCCTGGTTTTTATTATAATATAAACAATCGGTAGCAATAGTCTACTTCTGGTTTTGTTCTTTGATTGAATGAAACTACTCTTGAAATACGTATGTACAGTGTTTTTGAACAGTATAGTCTGCTTTTTCTTCTTCTTCTTGGTAATCTAGCTTACAACAAATGCCGATCTCATGGCTAGTCGTCAATGGAAGTATTATATTGAGACAAATGAATGGACACGTGCTACATGTGCATTGATGGCATGTTTATTTACTAGAGATCAAATGGCTAATTCAACTGTTTTAGGTCGTGGTGGTTCACAACGTGCCCGTCTTCCAAGCAATCTAGTTGCTTATGTTGTCAGTAAGTTTTTCTCTTGTTATATTTTGTTGTTTATTTTTGTAATTGGTTGACTTTTTAATGGCCCTGTAACTGACCTCAGTTAGATCGTACGATGATTGTTATCGAAATATACATTCCAGCTACCATCGTACATAATTATTGGTTTGATTCACGTTAGGAAATAACAGAATAAAATAAGTCAGATACGAGGATAAACTTTAAATTTGTATATTTCGCACACTCATTGATCCGGACAGACAATCGGAAAAACCAAGTAAACAAAACGAAGTGAAAGATGTCATTGGAAAATGAAAAACAAGGTGATGCACAGCCGATAAGGCGAGTGAGCCAACTCGATTTGACCAAGAGTAACCCAATATTTATAAACAGACCAAAGATAAGTTACAGACACGTGATGAATGGGGTAGGCAATTGACAGACTTAGGATCATATAATAACAGTCAGTTTTAATAAGTGACAAGGTCAAAATGTGGCTTCAGAAGAATGAATAAATTGGTCTTTTCAGATGTTAGAATAACCTATGTTGGCTTGATATAGTACCAACCTCTACAACTCTATTATTATTCATATCACCAATCGATCAGTGTTTGGCCACGGTTAAAAACCTGAAAGCACTGGATGGTCGTTTCGTCCTAGCATGGGACTTCGGAAAACTGCGCATCCACGATCTTACACGCCGGATTCGAACCCAGGACCTTCGGTCTCGCGTGCGAACCCTTAACCTGTAGACCAATTTTATATATATATTAACTTGGAAGTCCTGCGTTTTTACTTGATACTAGTTGGAAGTTGTCAGCCATGTCTAATATTCGAGAGACTGATTTAAGAACATCTCTGTCGTAATCATCTTAGTCTGACACAAATATGTTTTAAATCAAATTGCAATACAACGTTAGTGTGACGAAATAAAATGATTGAGATGAGTAGTGAATGCATCTATACCATCGTGAAAGGTTCTAAGTCATGTCATCCTGTATCTCCAACCATTGACTGTGATTATCAAGTTGATCTCAACCAGTTAGTTTTGACCTACTCACATAGGCCCCCAAATGCCCAGGTACGGCCGAGAGTGGGGAGAGTCCGCTCTCTTTCTCGAAATGCTCTCACATGGTCACGCGTATATAGCCTCTGCCAGGGAAGTCCTACTCACTGCCTTCTCGTGGCGGGGGTGTTTACGAAAATGAGAGGACGAAAAGTGAATGTCCGGCGCTTTAACCGGATTCCAAACCAATGGTGCACATGGGCTCCACTAGCTTGCCGGAACAAATGCCATATGAACCAATTGTTGGTCACCGGCTTCCATGGGACTGCATCTCCTTACGATGCTCCACTGCCTTGTGGATCAGACCCCCAGGTCGAAGGCTCGGGGTGTGGCCCCCTAAGAAAACCACCTGTTTCGGTTTGGGCACCCGGGTAGTATCAAAGCCCTCACATATATCGAATGAGATTTGTGTGGCGCATATGTATTTGGTGCCTCTTTGTACAAATATTTATGTGTTGAAATAAATAAATAAGGTTAGTTCACTAGTCACTTACCTCATGAATTAATATCACGTATTGTTTTGGTTATACTTAAGTTTCTTCTCATTTTCTTCTACATCATTTATAAAATACCTGTCGAAGTAGTTAATGATTAAACATACTCAACATATATTTCCTAACCACCATAATCTATTCTCTTAGTTTTCAGACATCTTTAAACCACTAATGTTATGATCAAATAATTTACAGATGATCTGTTAGTACATTTAATGTTCTTAAAATACTTATACACTCATTATATACAATTCAATTATAATTCTTCAATATTATTAGACTATGTAATTTTATCTATTCATACAAAGAATTCAGTAGTTATCTGAAAGTAATTAATTATTCATTTAAAGTAACTTATTAATAAAATCTAATTTAAATGTTTCATTCTTATTGATCACTTTTAAACATTAATTACTTTTTTTTAAATAATGATATAAATAATTGTGCATAGTAACAAATAAAGATACGTTTCTATGTAATTGACTAATTCATGTGTCCATTTTAAAAAATATATAAATAATTTGTGTAATTATAATTATACCATCATTATCATCATCCAATATTATTTACGTCCTTCAAAATTAACATAATTAATTACTTGATTATGTATGTTACGCCTTGTGAACGAGTATAGGCCTCTCATCAATACTCTCCTCCATCCAATCCTGTCCTGAACAATCCATTCCATTTCTTTCTAATTGTTATTCATTCTTTTCATGTCTACTTCCAATTCTCAACGTAATGTGTTCTTCGGTTTTCCTTCTTTTCGGTTTCCCTTCAGAATTATAAGTTAGGGCTTGCCTCATGATGCAGTCTGATAATTTCCGTAATGTACACTGGCATTATTTTACCACTGAAATTCTAGTTGATTTCATGATATTATTTACACAAGGATTTTATTAAGTTTGAAGCTGTTGGTCACTATTCACCAAGGTAGTTACATAGTCCTGACTAAATAAAAATGCATATTCTGTAGTTCACTTGATAAAATGAACCAATAGATTAGTAGTTAAATCATATTTTCAAATCACTAGGTTTTAAGTTTGAATCCTACTCCATTTACTTCAATTTAGGTAACTGCGTAATGTAACTATCCCCTGTTACATAAATACTTTATGGTTGAAAATTAACTGTGTAATTATTATCATCCTGTTATATATGTTTAAATATATAAAGCATTCAACATTTATACATTATCATATTACCCTCATTTAAGACTAGGCTATATCTGCCGTAATATAATTTTGGCAATCACTTAATCTTTACAATAACATGCATAAACCTGTATATATTTACTATTATGATGGTGATCATTATTATTTTGTTATTTTTCCAAGCACAAATAAGTATAGATATTGTTGTCAATATTCTCTTCTATTATTCAATATGTTTTATACTTCTTTCTATATTAGGGATAATATGCATTACTTCTAATGAGATTAACATAATGAAATTTTAATCGGATTCATTCTTGCTTTCATTGTTATTTTGTTTTAGTCAACTTTCTTGTATACATTTCAATAACAACAACAAAATTTATATCATTTATGAAAGAAAGAATTTAATATTCAATCGATTAAAATATTTGTCTCAAAACTACTGATTTGTAAATATCAGTAGTAGTGAACATGTCTGTTGTAAATTAATAATCATAACTTCGTGAATAACTCATTTATATTCAAAGCGTAACCATTTTATCTAAACACATAAACATTGGTACATGGAGGCACCAAAGAGATATGCGCCACATAATGCACCACATGGAATCCTGTGGGACGACATTTGCAGAACATGTCCTAGCCACCGAAATCTATGTTTCAAGATAGTGACACTAATTGAATTGTCGTCGCTGTGCACGAACACACGATGCCTAACTTATGCATTAATAATATGGTGTTGCCACTGAATGTCAACAATCCTTCGGTGACAACAATGACCATACACACAAAGGTCAGGTTTCACAAGCACATAGCAAGACTTTTCTCATCGAAGCATTGTCTATCCGACCATTTACAGCCAAACTAACATCATGAAAGTGCCAAAGATGGCCCAGATTAGCATAAGCCGCTCTGACTCTCACTATACGTCAATTGGTCTTAACACTCACACCACCACTCATTTATTTTGTTTATTTATTTAAACACATAGATATTGGTACAAGGAGGCACCAAATACATATGCGCCACACAAATCTCATTCGATATATGTGGGCTGTGATACTGCCCGGTTGCCCAAACCGAACCAGGTGGTTTTCTTAGGGGGCCACACCTCGAGCCTTCGACCTGAAGGTCTGGTCCACAAGGCAGTGGAGCATCGTAAGGAGATGCAGTCCCATGGAAGCCGGTGACCAACAATTGGTTCATACGCTATTTGTTCCCTCAGGATACTGGAGCCCATGTGCACCATTGGTTTGGAATCAGGGTTTTCCAACTCCCCTAGGTGGACTCCCCATGTCCACCAACCCGATTAAAGCGCCGGACATTCGCTTTTCGTCCTCTCAATTTCGTCAACAACGCCCTGCCACGAGAAGGTAATGAGTAGTCAGTCAGTCAGTAACAACGTAGAACTTAGTACGTACGTACATCCGTTCGAGTTGCCATACCACATTAGCACAGAGATGCAGTGGTCGATTCAAATCCCGTAGTGGTAGAGGTAGCAAGAGTATAAGCAGTAATCGGGAAGATTAGGGTTTGGAGATGTTATTTAACGAGTATAATACAGTGAAATAAATTTGGAAAGAGGAAAAAAAGGGGCATGAAGAATTCAGATAATTAGAATTTGGGAGAACATAGAGAGTGGATGCACCTGCGCCATTGCAAACGATTTCGAGTCATGTCATTCAGGGTCTCTAACCATCGGTTGCTATCATCTCGCGGTCCCCAACCAGGTAGTCTACACCTACCAACATGACTCAGTCCACTTGTCAGTGACTTCATGGATTTGTGCCATGTTTTGGTCTGGCCGCCCCTAGCTTTCTTCCAACCTACTCCTATACCACTGAATATAGCACGTCGAGGTAGTCGGTGGTTGGTAATGAGTAGGACTTCCCTGGTAGAGGTTATATACACGTGGCCATGTGAGAGCATTTCAAGAGTGATATTTTCTCATTGAAAATAGATAAAATAAATCGAATCGAGCATATTAGTTATAGCTTTCAGCCAATACTTATTATCTTTGAATATATTATTTTCTTCATACATCTTTCAGAGTATAATCCATATTGTGTGAACGTAGTACTTATTAACATAAAATATCATGCAATTGTATATCAATCTTATCCATTGAATGCAATGGATTTTATCGCATAATAAACTTCAAATAGTTTACCTTAGTTATAGCGGTAGAATGTATGATATAAATAGTATCTATAAATACATTCAAAATATTCTTTGATCTAAGTTAAGTAAAAAGTAATATAAAAACAGAAACGAGGCAATAAAGATAAAGTATCTTTAACCATGGGA